CATAAAGCATAAATATGGATGTATTTTTCAACTATTACCCAAACGGAGACTATAATTAGGAACATAGCACTTCATTGATAAAAATTCTCTCCACTACCCTCAATATAAAGCTTAAACCAGAATTTTTCCACCCTAAATTCCTCAACTAAACTTATTCCAGAACTTGTAACAGATTTAGAATATTGTTATAATGATCTCATCTTTCACTACTCTAATGATAATAATGAGTTGTGACAATTTTCTATAACCCACATTATTTTTAAACTACCTGCTCTCATCTACTTCTAATTTTCCCTTAATTCTTAAAATATTTTACTATTACCAGCTCATTCCAAAAAATCCATGAAGACATCATCATTAAAAAAGCAGAGAAAGGCAATAAAACTGTTGTGGACCTCACAGAATAGATTAAAAATAATGACTGGCCTATTATCAGACCTAACCACACATGGTCCTTCCTCTCTACACTACTCCTCTTAAAATCCTGTTTAAGCATCACTATAGATATTAAATTTTTATCATGTTTTCATTATTATAATACAGCATGGTCCATCATATATATAATACATTGTATTTCTAACAATTGTAATTCACTTCCATTTTTAAGATTTCTTTAATTCCTTATTTGGTAACCTGTACTAATTTAGTATAGACTGATACACTATTTTATTTTTACCTTGTACCAATCGATATGTAATGTTAATATTTTCTACTTTTAGCCTGACATGTAGGTCATAACGTTGGCAATTGTATTAAAACACTGATATAGTATATAACATGTCTGTCTTAACTTATCCCCAACCAACTTCTTAAATTAGAATTAGGGTCAATTATCTCTATGCCATTCAGGTATTTTTTTAGGTTATTAATATTTACTAGTTGTGGTCAACATCAACAGTTATGTTCTAAGGATACAACACCAATTTACAAACAAAAGACTATAACCCTAGAAACCATTGGAAAACGATTCCCAGAGACAGAATGGCTCCATGTATATACTGATGGTTCTGCACTGGAAGCACGCAAACATGCCGGAGCTGGAGTTTATTAAAAGGAGTATCAACTTGGCGCCCCGGTCGGAAAGGAAGCCACAAACTTTGAAGGGGAAGTGAAAGCCATCCTCTTAGACCTTGAGAGATTAATTGAACGAAAAGATAAGAAAGTTGCTTTCTTTGTTGACCCACAGGCAGCCATTTTGTCTCTCCAAAATGGATATAATATAAATCCAAATGTTCCTAAATGCCATCAATATTTGAACTGATTAAAGGAAAATGGGACAGAAGTCACTCTCCAGTGGATACCAGGTCATTGCGGGCTCCACGGAAATGAAGCTGACAAACTGGCCAGAATAGGTTCTGGAATGATCCAACCCGATATTCCTCTGGCCATAGATTCAACAAAAAGTATCATAAAACAGACCAAAGTTCACTGAAAGAGAAATATATACAAACAATTGAAGGGAAACGATGGAGTGGATTGCTGGAAGAAAGTGGCAGGATTCCTAGAGACTTCCCTAGAGGGCAAGCTGTGGAATGATTTAGAATGCTCACAGGCCACAATTTCCTTCAGAAACATCTCCACCGCATCGGTGTAAAAGATAGCCCGACATGCCCTTTATGTTCCTTAGACATGATGACAGGAGAATATCTTGATACATACCCTGCATTACAGGACATAAGATGTCCTTTAATGAAATGGACAGTCCTTATGCTCGGAGAGCAGAACTATATTAAACTGCAAGAGCATGCATGGCTAATGAAGCAGGCGATACTTAGGCGTAGAAAAAAAAAAAAAAGTTGTGGTCAATGATTTTGTCAGAAATCATGGTTGGAGAACTTTCATGGTGATCGGATGAAAACACAAAGCACCAACAGACAAACTAACAGTCTACTTACCAAGCTTTGTAGCCCATTTATGACTATTCAAAGAACATTTTCAAAGTTCCGTGAGATAGTTTTTGAGCTATTAAAAAAATTAAATTAACAATTTTAAAAACTACAAAAGAATAAGAAGGACAAGTACATGTACAGAATAAGATTAAAAAACATTGGTACTTTCAAGAAGAGGATACATTCTGTGGATCACCGATCTCAACCAAATTTTGGTTTCGGTGATACTACATTGAAAAATATTAGACACGTATCCCAGTGTTCTTTCCAATGGGCACTAGGAGGATTTTGGATTACTGCCCTACCTAGTGATACAAGTAACTTTTGGATTGAATTTTTTTTTAAGCTAGAAATAGAGGAAAACTTCTAACCAATTTTTATTTTATATCTTTAGATTTAATTTATTTACAAAGGTCAGGTTTACACCATTTTATATAGCATACAGAGGCCTAAATCTCTACCAATTTTTGTGTGGGTCGGTGAAGCCCTTCTGAACAGAGGCCTAAATCTCTACCAATTTTTGTGTGGATCAGTAAAGCCGTTCTGAAATAATCACATGTTTTGTGGCTGTTGAAAGAATTTAGAAAGGTTCAGCCAAGGCAAAGAATTCGTGAAGAAAATTTTAATTTTCGATAAATATAAAAATTCATATTTAAGGGTTTTTTGAGGTGCGAAAAACAAATATAAACTTTATTTCTCGCTAAAAATTGATTTACCCTCGATGCGATAGCAGATCGGTTTTTAATAAATATTTTATTTGGCAGATAACTACAAGTAAATGCATAATTTGGACCGAGTAGTTATTTTTTAAAGAAGAAACAAAGTTGATGGCCAGAAAAAACTCATCGAAGAAAATCAAGTACTGAAGGTTGTATTATTTCATTTATACAATGTGTATAAATTGAGTTTTAAAGAGCCTTAAAAAATGAATCTAATTTTCTTTTACATAACAAAAATTTAATTGGCCTACTTTACTGGGAAAACCTTTTGGTTTTTGTAATTTATGATACATTATAATACATTTAATCCAATTATAAATATTTTCTTCTTATTCTGCACAAAAAAAACAGAACAATTGGTACATAGTAACCTAAAAATCCAGACAAAGCAAACGCAAAAATAAATAACAAAAATTTTGTTTGAAATAACATAAAATATTTTTTTCCTCGACTTCTAGAGGCCATTGGAGATATCTGTCTAATATTATTCGATGTAGTATCATAACAAAAGATTTGGTGAAACCTGTGGACCACAGGTCATATCCTCTCCTTGTAGAATGGTGAAAGTGAAACAAGTCGAATCATTGTAAATGCCCGTTTTTTAGGATAAAATGTATATCTATTAGATACAAAAAGCAACACAATTCAATATTTTTTTCTGATATTTTTAAACAACTTCTAGTAAAGGTCCACAAAATAATTGTACACAATAGCACTTTGTAATTAGAGACCAGAGACCTTGTTTTTCCATTTATTATTCGCTGGCAATTAGTGTGTCTTTAAATAAGATATTGTAATTTAATATTCAAAGTTTTGCTCTTGTCAGATTATTTCACTGTTTTAATTGTTTGTTGCATGAAATTTCATATTCTGCAGTTTTGGAGCTAATTTAGGTTTTAAAACTGTAACATTTCACAATTGGAGCAAATTTTCTTACAAATAAATGTGTAAACAAGTATTTATTTTAGTAGTTATGCCCGTATAAACTTTAATATTAAATATATAATTAAGAACAGAGATAATGTGCCCAACCTACTCAGTATATGATACCTAAGGTACATAATTATTTTAAATATTGTGTTATTTAAAAAAAACATGTTTAAACTCTTTTTCTGATTATAGAGGATATTTTTGCTAGAAGAAGTTTGAAACAAACAATGCAACTATCAGAGTATATGCTTAATAATAAATAACAATAATAAGTGTTATTTATTAGTTGATCATTTATTTTACTTCTTTCTTATGATTTTCATGTAACGTAGATGTAACAGTAATAGACACTGTTACCATTAAAATTGTTCAACTCATTAACTGGTAATAAGCTTTATATACCCAAAATAGTGTGCTAATATGTATAGATTTGTTAAAACAATAAAGAGAATGATGGCTGGACCTCAAGCAATATCACATCACAATTGGCCGATTGGTAGATGTCTTTTGTTTCCTCAGGGAGGTTGTTTCCTTAACACTCCTTATAAGTAGTTAGTAGTCAAGTTTGAAATTTTGATTCATTTATCTGTATTTTGTCATTACTCTGTTTGCAACTGTGTAAAATCTAGTTAAGAGTTTTGTTATTTAAACAAAAATCCAGTCTCTACTTATAACTTAGCAATACGATGACAATTTACATCAAATACTTTATTTTGGCGACTGTGGCATATCTATGACTTGTTTATTTTAGGTTGTATGAATACACCTATTAATAAGAACGTTACATGAAGAAAATAAATGTTTTTGATATATTAATAAATTCCTATCTAAATAAAAATATTTGAACACAGTTATTGTTGATTCTTCATTTCGATTGATATAACAAAATAAAATGTGGAGTTTTGTTTTTCTAAAGATAACACAAATCAACATAACACCTTAACAACTGTCACACACCAATAGTATTAAGTAAAATAATTTTATAAAAAATTATCCCCTCCCTTAAGCATTCAAATCAAGCCTTCTGTAAAGTGGTATATTCCATAGTACACGCAGTTTAGAGTTCATCGTAAGTCCTACTTCCAAAATAGGACTTGCTTTGGCAAGTGTTAAAGCCAAAAAAGATCAAAATTCCTACTTTGGGGAACCAGGAAAATAAAAATGATTTTCAATGGGAGATTATTAAAACTTAATTAACAATACAGAAACTTTAATATTTATGTCCTTAATTTTAAAGACACATTTTCAAAGCAGAAGCTTTTGTAATATTTTGATCTGGAATTCTAATTTTTTTTTGTTTAAATGTGATCTAGATCTAGAATGTAACAACTAAGCTGCTATTAGATTTGCAGTGAAAACATGAAGTAAAAACATAAAGTAACATAGACATAACATAAACATGAAGTACTACTAGCCTTCCATTTGTTCTTCTTGATTAAAAATAAAATAATAAAACACTTACGATCATGCTGTTGATGGGTAGCATGTTCATCATGTTGCTTCTGTTTTTCGTGATGCTTAACAGGTTGTGGAGCAGGAACAATAGGAGCAGGAACAGGTATAATTTCTGGTTCACCATTGGTCTCTGGTTCAGTATTAATAGAAGGATTTGACAATGATTGAAGAGGTTCAGCTGTTTTAATGATATTGGATTGGCTTATATTTTTCAGATTTAAAGCCTCAGCAAAACTAGATTTTTTTGTTTCTTCTGGTTCTTCTTTATGCGGTGGTAAACCTCCTGTAACACCAACTATTTTCTTCTCTTTTTTCTTAGATGGTTCCAAAACATTTTGAGGAACTGGAGACGATTTTCGCCCAGGTAAGATAGCGACTGATGGAACCTTAGGTCTGAAAAAAATTAAAACAAAGTATTTGGAATTGTATACCACCTTGAAGTGCAGCAAAACAATAGTAAAAATTCCAAGAGAAAAAAGTTAAGAAAAATAAATTTTTGTTACCCATAACTCAAAAAGTATGCAGATTATAACATCTATCTACAACTACTAAATTTCCAACAATATACCAAAACAAAATCATTTGCCCATTACTGGCAAGGATACAGCCTACAATAATTTGTACACATTTTTAATTTATTACTATGAATGAATAATCGTATTTCGACAGAGAAAAAGAAATAAATAACAATAAATGATGAATTAATAACATTAATTCATACAATAATTAATTAATTCCTCCTAATTATCTTGTATCAATTAATTAATTGATTAATTAATTTCTCCTAATTATCTTGTCCTAATAATTATCTTGCATTAACTTATTTCTAAATAGTTTTGTCATTTGTTCAATGAGCAATATACTGTGCAAATTATTTAAACAGACAAACTAGAACTAAGAAATGTGAAATAATGTTCTTAAGTTAAAATAAGGAAAAATTCAGATCGTATTGTTTTTAGAACATAAGACATGATTATTTACACGAGCCATTGTGTGAGTGAATACTAAATCACATAATTTAGATAGAGCTTTCAGTCTGTCAAGAATCAAAGATCAATTTCCAAAATGAAATAAACCAAATGAACAAATATTGTCACTGAAAACCTTCAGAAACTTATATAAATTTTTTTTAAAAACGGTATCCTTGAAATTTATTTATTAATATTTACAAATTTTTGTTAACGCTCTCACATTAAACTATCATTTATGCCTAGTTCTACTGATCTGTAACAGACCCTAATAAATGTATATCTCGACAATAAAAGCATGTATAAACCAGTAACCAGTAAATTTGCAGTTATATCGCAAAGAAGAGGTAACTTTATTCATATTTGACATTACATATCAAATACAGTAATCTCTCAAATTTAAAGTCCTAACTTTCTTTATGCTGTAACAGAAAAATAAAAGGAAGATAGAAAGTTACCTGGGTAGCTCAACAGTAGGAGAATCTGTCATTGCAGAAACTGTTGGAATTTGCTGAGACTGTGATAATGGTTGAGGCACTGCTTGTTGTGGCGCTGGTTGATGATGCTGAATGACCGGAGAGGGCTGTGGCTGGGGAATTGAAGGCTGTGTTTGAGATTGAATCATGGGGGGTACAACGGTGGGTGGGGGAATAACTTCAACAGCGGATGAGGGGGGAGCAAGAACCAATGGTGCGGGTGTCGATTCTGGGCCATTTATAGTTTCAATTTCAGTTTCTTCAGCTGTTTCCTCTTCTTCCTCTTCCTCTTCTTCTTCTTCAGGACAAGTCGGTTCTGTAGCAACTGCTGCCACTCTTGCAGCAAAGTCTGCAGCTACCTGATATTCAGTAAGCTGTAATATGATATACAACTAACTATATTACTAGAAATGATAATAAAACTACAAAATTTACTTAGGCGTCATGTGCTTCTAACTTTTGGTGAGTGGTGATGGGAGAAGGTGGAGGGACAAATAGCATTGAATTCTTATCATGGGGATCATATAATTTGTTAAAAACTATATTAAAGCTGAAGATTTATTCATAATCTTCAGTTTCAATTTAAAAAAAAAAGAGAAAAACAAGTTTTAAAATGTTTCCAGATATATGCGATTTCAACTGAACTTCTATTAACATTTAAATTTATTTCTAAAAAATTAACAACAGTGGGGTATGTGCCCTAAACCTAGTACTATGCATATAAATGTAACTATCTAAACTGTAATAATAAAACAGGAACACTGTTCTACAGGTGAGCAATATGCAGATTATTTAAAAACTACAAACTGTACATAAAATGTCCTAAGCGATGCATACAGTAAAGGCATGAAGTATCAAACTAAAGATGTACTTCGTACTAAAACTAATATTACATTGGAGTAATTGAAATGCAATGATTTTTTTATAAGATGCTAATGATTTTACTATCACTTGCCTATGCAAGTAATATATATATTTATTAAGGGAAAGTATTGCAATCGTTAAAATTTATGAATTTAAGTTTTCAATAGAAATACACGTTTTGAAGTTCCTTGAGTCCAAATAACCAAGTCTTGCAAAACAGTCTAGCTAAAAAAAAAAGACATTCAAAAGTGAAATTGGATATCGAAAGTTTGTGTTTGCATATGGCTGAAATGTTACAGCCAATTTTTTTGTTAAAACCAGCTAACCGAAAGTGTCACTACATATCATGGAATTCACACATTTTTTTTTTTAATTTCCTTGAAAACGGCTTTACTAATTTTGATTTAACTCATAAAGTCAATGTATTATGGAGCGATTTTTAATTTAATGCTTATTTTTCAGTTTACTTCAGCAAAAAAAAAAAAAAAAAAAGAGTAAATAATTTATAAGAAAACAATCAAGAAGGGAATATAATAAAAATTACTTTGATTCATGGAAAGAAAGAATTAGCAAAAACCTTACCCTCACTTCCTATCCCCGAAACACCTATCTTATCTTTGAGATAAGAGTGAATATCTAGTTCCGCCATAAATACTGTTACAAAAGTTGAACTTAGTTAACATCCTTGGGTATTATTTAGATAAATCTTACATCTATCAGGTCATTTTCTCTACATGTTAGGATAATAATCCTAATCAGTTTGTACTTTTCTTTGGCTCAGTTAACATGGAGTGGGATTATAAAGAAAAACGAATAGCCGTGATCGCCTTACACAAGCTTGGAAAATATACATCAGAGATTTTCAACTCTTTGGAACCTTTGGGTATCAGCCATATGTTCGTGTACCGCACTCTAAATAGATATAATGAAACCATATCTATATGTGACAGACCTCAACCATCTCCACACTGTGAAAACAGTGGCTGCTCGATTCAGAAGAAATACAAAATAGTGAATCATGTCTCGCATAGTCCATTGGAAGAGTGGAAAGAGTTCATCACCCTTCCTCACTGATGGTTTGGTAGAGTTTGCTTTGATGGCACCACAAAGCTCTATTTTTGTTATCCATTTCTCCTCACAAAAAAAAAAAAGAGTTAAAACAGACGCTAAAAATTATCAGGACGATATCTTAGAACCTGTTGTCAAGCCTCTAAATGATACACTGTTTGCTGGAAGTCATTGGTTTTTCCAGCAGGATTCCACTCCAGCTCACAAGATCAGGCCACTCAGCAGAGGCTACAAAAGAATATTTCAGAGTTCATCTCTGCCTCAGATTGGCCCTCAGGAAGACCTGATCTCAACCCACTAGATTATCGGCTTTGGTCCGAACTGGAGAGGATAGCATGCCACAGAGCACACCCTAACTTAGAAAGCCTCAAACAACCTCTGGTTTCAACAGTTGAGCGCTTTCTTCAAGGTGCCACATGCTGCTATTGATGACTGGCCATGGGGATTAAATGCCTGTGTCAAGTCAAAAGGAGTAACTTTTCTTTTGAGTAACTTTTTTTTTGTTTTACTCTCTTTAGATATACATTATAATTTCTAATAAAGTTTTTGAAAAAAATAATTTTTCTGTTGAAATTTGTAAATATTTCCTTGTAACAATATTTATGACAGGAATAGGTATAATTGTATTGAACAATGCTAATTGCTGTATATCAGTCTTGTCATACGACACCCTCAGTATAAACATAATGTATTGATATTTATAATTATTTCTATATGAATCTTCCTCAATGAATTTAAGCACTTCCTGAGCCTCCTTTTAGACCAAAATGGGTGGAGTTCGGTGTGTAAAATTGATTTATATGCAGAATAATACTATCAATCATGAAGGGAGGGAGGAGGATTATTTCGTGCCCCAATAGTTTTGCATGGTTTTTAAGAATTTGCACATATCTACAGCCTTCTAAAATGTGGTAGAGTGGTTCTTAAACTTGTGCGATCAGAGGATCCCATCATAAACAATATTTGTTTTGCATGCCCCATCACTATCCCGGGAATTTTATGAAGTGATGTTAATTACTCATAATGACAATAACGAATTAAATATAGAGCAATGAAAAAGTCTTGACCAGTTATGATTTGTAATAATAGTTATTTGATTCAAAGCAGAGTTGGAAAATGTCAACTTGAAAATTCTTTCGTGGATCCTCCACTATCCCCAAATAGCTACTTCATTAAGAATTCATGGGATCTGTTGCTCATGATGCTCAAGCTTTGTTTTTGAAAAATTATTTTAACTTTCATAAAAGCATTTCCTAAACTTAAACACCCTCTTCAACGAATTATTTTCAGTGAATCAAATTCCAATCATAACCATATTACATTGTCATGTATGTTAATTACATAAAGCAAACAAAAAATGTCTGAACTTTTTTTTTGTCTCCCTCATCCTCTCTTTTTATGCTAGATGGGAATTTTCACAGGCTAGATGGGAATTTTCACAGGCTAGGAAACAGGACGGAGGATTAATGACAGAATTTAAAGCCCCCATGGCATCGGGGCCCGAACTCATAATTATTTTACATATTCTAAACTTCGGTTTATAAAGCAGTTGGTTGCTAGACAACACGTGTTTTGAACACATGCTAGCATCTCGGCCATTCTTTCCCCTAAAAAAATGTCTAGACCATTAAATTTTAATTAAATGACACCTAATGGGTAAAATTATAGTTAGGGGATGTAAAGTTAAAAGGAAAATTGCTTCGCTGTCCCCCAATAATAAATACATAGATCCCCAGATCCAAGTTTAAGAACCTCTTCTCTACTATATTTATCAATCATCTATATAACTGGTGTAGTTTTATTTAATCATTTTTTCGTAATAAAAACAAATTGACAGCCAGGCTGCAAAAAGCCGCAAGAAAAATTTAACTGGAAACGTGTTTCATGCTTTTATGTCAATCTAGGAGTTGCGCATGTTCAGAAGTACAAAACAATAGATTATTTAAACATTTTATTTTTATCCAAGCAATCCATTAAAAACTGAATGAAAAATCTAATTATTAAATTTTAAAAACACTCATTTTTTTAATCTTCTGAATATTTAATGTTTTAGCACTAAAAGGCTTTCGCAACATGGCTGTCTAATTACTATTTAACAATTAATTACTTAGTACTTGATATTCCAAACAAAGCCTTTACAAAACAGAATATTTTATACCAAATTAAATAACATCTCATGCAAAGCCAGTCATAATCACAATAAAAAAAAAAATCTCATTAATATATACTGGAGATGATCACTTAAACAGAGAAATAATGACTAACCAAATAAAACTTACTGTATTAAATATAAATAGTAAACATAAAAAAAATAATTGAAGGTGCAATTAAAAAAATTATTTTACTTCAGTCAGTAAAAACAGCAAGAAAAATGCTTCGTTATTAAACTAATTCACACTTGATTTTTATATTGATTTTGTTTAAGTAACTAAGAATGTACCGTTTAATTAACATTATTTAGATTGACTTGCTTCAAGAGAGCTTTCAACCCTAATTTGTTTTAAAAACTGAAGTTTTGTAAAACTTTTAACTAAAAAGTTGCATAGGAAGTTGTTCTAATTTAGGATTAAAAAAACAAACAAAATCATATATCAAAACTGTTAAAAGAACAAAAAAAACTCTGAATATCATACTGTGAAAGAAGACATGGAGGAGTACTATTCCTTATCAGAATTAATTCAATTGTATGGTGTTCATTAATCATTATTATTTGAGGCGGTTTCAACTGGCTGTACATAGACCGATAATAAATCAAATGTAATCTACAGACTAAAGGCTTGGTTTGGAATTGACTTCCATTGTAACTGAATATAATCTTGATTACATTGCTATTATTTATATAGAATTACTTACCCCAGTAGGAACAGGAGCAGTAGGTGTGATTGTTGTTTCCACTATTTGTGATTTTTCACTTAGGTAATCTTCTATAACATTTCTCCCTGAACTGGGATCAATAATTGAGAGGGGTGTTCGCCGTCTTTTTTGTGGTTGTATAGTAGGTTGAGGAGGTCCTTGTGGGTGACCATGAGTTATAAGGACACCAGAACCTGCAGCAGCTGTGGGGCCACCACCGCCAGCATTTGGTACAGCGTCTACTGTATACTAAACAAATAATATAAGTTAAATGTTAATATTGCTGATGATAATTTAATTTAAATACACCAGTAAAATGAGTCCATATGAAAATAAAATACGATAAAGCTGTGAAACTATATTATGTTAACGTAACAAGTACAGGTTTCCATATTTTGATAGAAAAAAACTCAATTTATGAACCAATAGTTAAACAGAGGGTCTGTTTAGTGGTAAGATTTTAAGAGGTTTTTCATCTCGACGTCCTAAAAGAAAAAGTTTTAGGGATAATACATGTGGAATCAAGTTTACTACACTTAATTATTCAACTAAATGTGAAACTTGTTTAAAAAATGATCCGTACACATATTATTACAGTAAGACTCGAAATCAGTTTTGTACCAAATTTAAGCTCCTGTCATGCTCAAATGCCACGAATGGGGTACCGTTGGATTCAGAATTTCACAGGGGGTTAGCGAATTGTGTTCTCCAAATTTTTCTTTCTAAAATAAATAAAGTCGATACAAACATTTTGCTAGGCTTCGATACTGGAACGGTGGTAGGTCTGTAGATCGATACGGGACAAATTGGATCTTAAAGATTTTGATGCATACAGCAAGATCCGGATAGTTCCTCCGGAACTATCGGATCCTGCGTTTTTAAGCCGAAAAACGTACTATTTTCGAGATAACGCAAGGCATAGGGTTTGCATCCACACAACCATACATTAATTGTAGTACTGTCATTGAATACATGTCTCATTTCGTCGACTTGAGGTCTCTATGATCGAGAGAGGGGGAGTTTATATTATTCATCGATGGTGTTTTTGATCGGCAAGCCATATCATAGTTAATTTTTCACCAAATCTCAAGATTGAGCCACCAATTTCGAAGGCTTCCTTCTTCTTCAGGCTGGCAAAATAGTCTAATCACCCAGAAAATTCAGGCAAACAAGTTATGAAAGAAAATAAACTTTATTTGCGAATAACTGAAAAATTACACACTTTTCCCTAGGTTATGTCCCATAATTATATAAAACATTACTAAATTCCCTACAAAAGGAAAAAAAAAAATCATCGCAGTCGGACAATTTTTAGCAAATATACTGCTTACTGAAATTTGTATACATGTTGGTTCCAAACAAAAATGAAGATTTAAATTAATTTTTGTTTGCTTTGTGGATTATATTTATCGATAAAGTAACATTTGATGTCTTAATCTTTTGATAAGTTGTATTTTCTTATTAATTTGACATTTGATAACAATATGCTGTGCGAATTTTTCGTACGGGCCTACTAGTATTTTCTAAGTAAAATAGTAAGTTAAAAAAACAATGTGAAAATATAAAGCATACTTTAGTTAAACTTTTAATAGTTAAGACAAATTTATTGTTGTCTTGACTCCATTTCTAGAAAATATCTGCAAGAAATAAGACATTATGTGGGTTATAGTTTTCGAGATTTAAAATAAATTTAGTACTTTTAAAACTATGTTTACTACTAGCTTGCCGTGTTGTCATTGAACTTTATAATATTTTAGCACCTATTGATTGGTACTATCTGTTTCCAATATTTATTACTAAAACAAAGGGTAATAAATATGTTTTATATCCCCTCCTCCAGAGATGCACCTTCTACTATTAATGTAATGTAAATTAATTATTAGCCATGAGACAAATCAAAGATGAAAAAAAAATACTCAATTTTTGCTAACATCCATTAATTAACAATAAAAAAGTACCAAAGAAGAGTAGTAACCCCCAAAAATAACTCTTGAAGGAATGCCCCCATAGCAACAAGAATAAAAAGGCTTCCACATGGTTTAGAGCATTTTCTCAGTTAAACAGTTAAAGAATATCATAACCTAGACTTCTCTCCTCAATTTTATATGAAAACTAGTTCTGCTGGGAAACGACAATAATTAATTATTGCAAACAGAGGAGGAATGCAAGAACTTGTTGCATCAGCTTAGGAGAAATAGAAAGAGCTGCAATTTGGCAGAATGCTTGTAGGAATACGATTGCCATGCCAACAACTGCAATTACCACCATAATCTAATGACAAAAACCACTACTCAGAATGAAAATTGGCTGCTCAAAACAAGAATAACTGGCGACTGATGTATATTACGAGAGGCCTTGACCACACTTAGGTTCATATAATAAAATTCATTTGTAGCCCCAAAAATGATGATGACAACCACTACTCGCATTGCATTGCTTCTTGTTACCCCTTCTTCTAATAGCTGTTTTTATTAAATTTTATTTTTGTTTGCTGTATGGATAATATTATAAAAAAATAAAATAAAAAGTAGGTTGACCTCTATAAATTAGCATTTCATAAGTAAAAGAATATGGATAAATAAAATATGCCTACCTGCTGCGGAGGCTGCTGAGGAGGAGGTTGAGGTGGAACACCTTGGTGGGGTCCAGAGTTTGGGGTAGAATAAGGACTATTCCTTAACTGTGAATAAACATCTGAAATAAATAAATCCATTATACAAATATTGTCAACAATCAGAAAAATAAAGAAAATTATATTTTAATGTTTAAAATTATGCTAAAACTACTGACAATTACAAGAGTTATGTAAAAACATAGAATTTTAAGTCTATTAAGGCAAATGTTTATTCTAACATTTAAAAAAAATAAAAAAACACTTACAGTGAGGCGCTCCTGCATGTGGAGAGTATTGATGTGTGAAGGGGTTACCTATAGTAGCATGTTGCGTAGTCATAAATATTTGTTGCTGTGTAGTATAATAATTTGGCTGAGGTGTGGCAGTGGCTCCCACTGCCTGGCCTCCACCATGACTGTGTTGCCGTCCACTTTGTATCGTCTTAAAAAAATGAAATAATTGGGTTATTAAATTAAATATTGAGATCAGTGAATGGTGGGAGGGGATGCATAAATGCATGGTGAGACTTATTTAAAATTAAAAATTATGTAGAAATTGTTGACCGTGATATAATATGAGAAGGAGTTGGTCAGGGGGGCGCGGTCAAATAAATACTAAATTTTTAAAAATACACCTAATAACTGCCTATCAGCAGAATACACAAATCAGCCAGTCTATCAACTACCTCTTGCAGTGCCACATGACACGCCCTGATGAAGACCTCCAAGGTGGGTCACAACGTCGGCATAAAAATTAAAAATGCTACTTTTTTTTTTAATTTAGTATTTATTTGACCGCACTACCTGACCAATTCCTTCTCAGAAAATAATGTAGGATTTTGAGTTTTCTTCTACTGTTTACGTTGACTGGATTATTCATTTGTATCCATTTGTCCTCTTCTAAACAATAATGTTTGTTTACTTCAGTATCATTTCGCGACTTAGAAATAATTCAGTCTTGACTAAGATGTCAACGAGTAAAATTTTAGTATAATGTTGATTTACGAGTTTAAACTAGATCGGAATGGAGTCCAGATTGCCAGAAACATCAATCAAGTTAATGATTGCAATGTACAACGGTGGTTCAAAAATTTTGGGAAGGAGACTTCAGCGATGAAGACAACGAAGATCGTGGAAGGACTTCCTTTTTTGATGATGTTCTGTGGGCTGTGGTGGATCAAAACACCTAAACAACTGTTGGAGGACTTGCAGGGAAACTTAACCTTAGCAAATCGAGTGTTGATGATCAACTCAATGCGATTGGAAATATAAAAAAGCTTGAAAGTTGGGTTCCAAACACATTAAACGACTGCCAAAAAAAAAAAAAAAAAGCGTTATGAAGTTTGTACTACACTTCTTTGCCAAAACAAAAAAATAGACTCTTTTCAGTAAAGAATTGTTAATGGCGATGAAAAGTGAATACTTTACGATAACAGTAGACGTTCTGGACAGTGGCTAGACAAAGGAGAAGCAGGAGAACATTTTCCAAAGCACCCAAATCATCAAAAAAAGGTTACGGTTACTGTTTGGTGGGCTTCATTTGCTTTGATACACTACAGCTTCTTAAATCCTGCAGAAACCATCAATGCCGAATCGTACTGTAACCAACAAATTAGTGCAATGCATCAGAAATTGGCAATAATAAAGCCATATTTGGTCAATTGGAAGGAGCACATTTTGTTGCATCACAACGCCTGCCCATATGCCTCATGTGTGACGCCACAGAAACTGTTGGGAGCTTGGATATGAAACTCAGTCACAAACCCCCTCCCCTACTTTCCGGACCTCTCGCCTATGGCTTATCATTTTTTTAGACACCTACACCATTACTTAAGTGACAAAAAGTTTAATAGACAAAGGAGATTAGAAAATGTATTTTTAGAGTTTTCAATTCTAAGATGGGAAGAAATTCTATTCAGAGGGAATGGAAAAGTTGCTAACAGGATGGCAGAAATGAATTGATAGTAGTCGAGACTATTTTGATTTAATAAAACAGTTGTAAGTCTTTCTAAACCAAAATCCTGCATTATTTTCCGGATAACGCAATATTTAAGAATTAAATAAATTAAATTTGATATAAACTTAATATTTCTTAAGATAAAATTGGGAGAAAGGTAAAAAATGATTAAAGATATGTGCCACCACTATTTACACATTTCTTTCCTGCCCCTCTGGCAATTTGTGGATGCTTTCCCAGAAAACCCGAACATCTTCGAAGTGGTCTAATCATCAAGCCAATTTTCTGTAATAGTTAAAATAATTTAAGGAGAGTTGGTGAGATATCGATGAAAACAAGTGGTAGTCAGATCTAACATAAATTCTCTGTAAAGTGTAGTGTTTTTAACCACTTTTTTTGCTGTGTGTGGTGGGACATTATCATCATGCAAAATTATTTTTTCATGTCATGTAGCTCATTCTGTTTGCTTTGGATCAATAGATATTCAATTTGATCAAAAAAATATTATAAATATTGATGGTAGCAAACAGTATTAACTGTTTCACCTGGTTTCATGAGCTCATGGTACTCGATACTCTTCTGATCCCACAAAACGGTCGACATCGTCTCTGATTAATTTTGCTTAAAGCGATTAAATTTTGTGACTGATGTTGAAGATTTTCCTGGGTCAACCCATGTTTTTCTCAGTTTTTGGTTCTCAAAATAAATCCGTTTTTCATCTCCAGTCACGATCTAATGCAAAGAAGTTTTTCTTATATGGCGAAAGAGCAAAATTCCAGCACTGTTTCTCTCTTTAACTCAGTCGTTGCTATACAATTGACCAGGCTATTCTTTGTGTTTTAAGTGAGAACCACTAATACTTTTGAATCGTCTAAACTAACATACTATTATATTATATGGTTGACCAGGAGGCAAAAGAAAGAGAGGACGGCACAGACAGAGATGAATCGATGATGTGGAGGACGATTTGTAGAAGATGGGAACCCGACTATGGACAAGCTGGGATGCTTATAGAGAGGATTGAAGAGGTGTTGTTGTGTTGTAATGAAGAGCCCAAAGAAGTAAATAAGTTAGGTAAACCAACATAAACAAGTTTTTTGCATTAAAACATTGTCACCGTCTTTGGTTTCAACAAGAAAGAAAGACAGTACATGCTGCAAATGTTCTTCATTTGGCTAGAAACTCAGCATGTTAACCATATAAATACAATATGAGGCTAACCTGAAAAGATCAATGATATTCTTAAGGTACTGTTAAAGCAACGTATTAATGTGAACAATCCTTGTTCCAGTGCCAGCTAATAGAAAAAATTAAGTGTCATTAACTGCCTCATCTGATATATTTATTTGTTTTACACCAGTTGTAAGGATAGGATAAGAAGGATCAAGTTAAGCACTTAGTTTAACCAAAGATAAATGATAACATTAATAGAAATTCAAAACAGATCAGAAAAACATACATATTAAAATTACATAAAACATAAAAAGAAGTTTTTAATTTGTTTGCGATTAACATAAAAAACAAATTTATCACTTATTCTAATAATACAAAATATGTAAACTTACCGGTCCGGCATATGGTAGAAGAACTCCAGCTGTTGGCATAGGTTGTGGGAGGTATGGATGTTGCAGAATTGTTGCAGGAGGCTAAAAGATATAAAAAAATACTGGATTAATCATTCTCATCTATGTGACATAAACATAAACAAGATATAACATATACATACGAGTATCTAAAATGGATTCTTAAGAATGGTTTAGCTCACTTAATGAAAGATAGAGAGAGGGAAATGGCTGAAGTTATTTGCACAGAGAATAGAATAATACATACCGATCATTCTTGATATTGCTAGGGGCAGAGTGGTTAAGCTGATGAACTTTTGTTTTCCCCTTCAGACCTGATCACTGCCAGCCAGCATTATCCTGACCATTCCACCAACCAAGTTCCTTTCCTTCCACCAAGTTCCAATGTTGTTTCACAAAAATTCTTCTTAAATCGACCAAATTTTGAAGGTCACTATTGCAGAGCTGTCTCCAAAGCAAGTTCCATACTTGCTCTATTAGGTTCATTTCCGGACCTCTGGGAGGCTAAGCAATAGCCTTAATCTCTTCTTGTTCAAGGTAATCTTGAACCAATCGAGCAACACCAGGTCGGGCACTATCACGCATTAAAATGAATTTGTTTCCTATATTTTTGGCATTATTAGGATCTCCCTTTTGTACCTCAAACCAGTTAGCCCTGGTCCACAAGAATCGATTCTGTTGGTGAGTTTAAAATTCATGCCTACCCACACCATAACTGAACCCGCTCCAAAAGTAACCCTTGGCAAAACATTACAAGGAGTGTATATCTCTCCTCACCTCCTTGGCACTCTTTTGTGTCTATCTGGAGACCTTAGACTGAATATGAACTCGCTGGTGAATAATGTGTATACATGTTCCTGGGCAAACCTCAAACACTAAACTCAGTACTACCTGGAAAGCCCAGGTCCAGTTGCTGGATAATGTGACGTCAAACCATACTCGTTAAGTTTTCTTCTCATTGTTCGCTCTGAAATTTGTGCGCAAATAAGAAATTCTTATTTCTTAGAAGTAACAATAAGGATCGATTTCTCTTCGGCTAATTCCCGTCTGTTCGCCATCAAAATGTCCTAAATTAACTAACAACTTCAAAACTGTTGCTAACAAAATGGTTTAAGCACGTTAAAATGAGTGTACGTATTCAATAATATTGTACAACTATGAGCAAGAGCTGGCAAAATGTACTTGAGTTATCTATTTAATCCCAAGGAGCGGTTAATGTTTACATTTTGAGAATGCAATTGATAAAGGATTACACTAATTCTATTCTGGTACGGGAGAAATATTTATTGTTTTTACTTATCAAAACATTATACCAAAATTTCTAGGTGACCAGTTAATTTTGTCTGGCAGTGTATTTAAATTAATTTTCATAAACATTAATACATAAGTTGACTGAGGAGTCAAATCAGTCAAAGGTGTATTTTTTGCGTTTCAATCTATATCGGTCTCTTATTACTATTAAGATTATTGTCTCTTCTATTAACATAGAAAAACCTTTTATGCCTGGAATTCACACACACAAAGAATTATTATGTCATTTCAGCCATTGGGCAAATACGTTGGAGAAGCTGTTATGCCAAGATTTAGGAATGGTTATTCTATACACACATAAAAAAATCAATTAGTTTTTAAATCAGCAAAGGGAGTACTTTACCCACAACATATTGTCGGTATTTCATTCCAAACAATTAACAATAACTAAATATGAGCTTTTAGTTTGTTTAAATCTAATTGTCAGTAAAATTATGGCCACTAGCAGGATTCGTAATAACATAAGGCAAGATAACAGATGAACCAAAGTGGTCTAACGCCTTTCGCCTTACGTTTAAGGAATTTAATAAAAATACAAAGAAATTTAATTGAATAATTAAGGGTATCATCTTTATAGAGGATAGGTGAGTCCCAGTGGAGTCTTTTGACCGCAAGGCCAATTCACAGCTGATATAACAGAATAAACTCCTTTCTCAATCCGACTGATTACAAAATATAACTAAGAAAGCTATCTAAGCACCCCCAGAAAATATTTCTGTTATTTTAATTTTCTCTGTTTGTATTATGTAAGCTTATTGTTAATGTATATGTACGCTTTTTAAGTATTTTTCTCTCTCTCTGTCTGAATTTTTACTTTTGAATAATTTACTCTTATTATGAACACTTATTCATCCACTTTTATGTATGATCATTCATTTATCTACGTATTCAGTACTTATAATTTGTTCTAAAGGGACAACAGTCCCAAAATAATAAAATATATTTTCATTTCAATACACAATATGACTGGACTTGAACCCAGGACCAAAAAATAATTAGTACAACATCGTTACTGAGCTACCATACTCTTGAACAAAGGTCTTAAATGTGAAATAATTCAAATAATATGTCAATAAATATGAGACATCATTAAAGATATTAAAATGTTTAAACAATTAATTTGTAGGTCATCAGGAGCAGCCAAGATTTCCCTAAACAACTTGCATATGGCCACGAAACACAGAGAATAGGGTGCTTTAAAATATAAAACTGATCATTTATGTTAGTCCAGAGCTATACTGCAATATATATTTAACAGCTGTATCAAAAATTAGATTTAAATATTGAAACAAAAAACACAGAAGCCTTTAAAAAGAACAGTAAGGTAGAACAATGATTTTTTTTTAAAAATAATTATAAAACGTAATTAATAATAATAATACAACAATATATTCACAAATTTTAGCAAGTAACGCTCACCTGATAGGGCATACTTGATGAAGGAACAGCTTGAGTCATCATTGGCCTTGCTGGAACTCGAGGTTGTGATGGTCGAGAGTAGAATTGCTAGGACATATGAAAAAGAAATTTGGATGATCATGAGAGAAATTCTGAAATTTTAATAAATAGAAGGTAGGAAAACGAATAACTTGAATTATCTTTTAGTTAAATTAAAAACGAAAACAGTTAATACTGTAACAACTAATAATCAGGTTTCAGATCTATACAATAATTAAATTCTTTAGATCCTTGTTCTGCTTGGAAATATCATTCCAGTTATAATTTTTTTTTTTTTTGTTCTTTTTTGGCTTTAAGACTTGTAAAAGCAAGTCCTATTTTGCCAACAAAATATTTTAATTGTCATTGTAAGATGAAATTACACTGGATATTTATTGAATATTTCTAGATAGATGATTGCCGAATGTAACTTATATATAATTTAAAATTTTTAAATTTCCTGAAATTTTATGTATAGCAATATTAGTGATCCTAAAGTTATGTGTTGCCACAAAACACTGTAAATATAATTATACTTTTAGAAGTAATTCTAAAATAAAAACACTTCATATTCTTGGTAACAATACAGGTACACAGATAATGTGTTAGAATGCAGACTGACAAAGCAGAATAAAATTATCATAAATATCTTAAGAACTTACAGGAGGCCGAGACTGTTGTTGGGAGTAGTTAATTCCAGCTGGCATCCCACCTATAAAAAAATTAATTCTATAAATAAATAATCACACATTTTATCACTTAAAAAAAAAATTAATCTATAACGTAAGAAAATCTACAAATTAGACATGAGATTTCTCTTGGTTTTTTGGTTTCGCCAACTGAATATCAAAGAATTTTAGCAAGAAGAATAATCAAGACTTTTTTCATCACAGTAACTTTGGACAGAATGGCCTGCACATGTCATTCAAAAATTAAACTAGGCAACTGCCTTATATTAAGAAATGAATTTTGACCAGAATTAAAACCTTATTTAGGTAAACCTCAGTAATAGAGAAATATAAAAGAACTTCGGTAAAAGCAATTTAGTTTAAATTTACTTTCAAATAATTTTTAAAATAAATAAGAAACTGTCTAATTTACTATGTGATAATTTGCAGTTTCAATTTAGCAATAGAGAAAATTCATGTAACTAATCAAATATGATAAGTTCAATGTTGAAATTAAACCAAAATCATTATTGGCTTAATCAGCAAGTATATATATATATGTACTTGCTATAATATATATATAGCAAAATTAGCTTTAACTTCTTACCCTGCATTGACTGCGTCTGAGGCTGTTGTTTAGGGTCCGGTTGTGGTTGGGTCTGTCCACTGGGACAGATCCTCATGGATCCTCCAGGGAAAGCACCTCCGCCACCGTCGGTCCCTAAGATAATAAAAAAAATATTAATAATGTTATAAATATTTAGATATATATATAAATATATATAAATAAAATTATACTTTACATATCTATCAAAATCAACATGAAACATTATTCTATTTTAGATAACAGTATAGACATAGAATCAGATTGAGTTTAAAAGAGCTTACGTGACAAAAAAACATGCATACATGCAAACAAACACATGTTTTAACAAAACAAGGAGACATGATTTGTTTTAAAAATAATTTAAGATTTATTTTATCGATGGGCTTAAATCATTATATTCAGTTCATGACTGAATGAAAATCAATAATTTCAGGTTTATAATTTGTCTGGTAAAACAGTTATATTTTTAGCACAGTAAAAAAAAACACGTAAATTCTAACAATACATTCAGCAGCATTAGAATTAATTAACAATTATAAGGCTAATTTCAGAGCATACAGACAAAAAAAAAAAAAGAAGAAGAAAGGATCAGTATATTAAATCCATTGATGTTGATATGTTTTCCATGAATATACTTTTTTTATTAACATTTGCATAAAAAGATATCTTAAGAGGCAAAAGTAACATAATTAATCTGCAGTTGCAGAGAATAATTTTTTCAATAAAACAACAAGAAAGTTTCCAGGATTCCAGTATATTCTGTTCTTAAGGCTGAATAAATTTTATTAAGAACAAGTCATAAATAATACATATCTTAATAATAAAAAAATATACTAACAATTATGATTATAATATCATACTGTCAATTCAGGTAAGAATGTTTAAAAACATGAACTACTAACAACCCACGAAGGATGGTCTTCGGTTCGGTTTAGTGCAATGTGAGGAAGTACTATCACAGGGCCAACGGTCGTGCAGGGAGGTGACAGGCCAATATCAAGCTCAACTGCCACGTTTTCCCCCTTAAATATATATTTAATTAAGACTACCCATTCTATAGAGGTTGGGCTTGCCCCAGGAGGGTCTCCCGACGGCTGATGAAACATTACTAGTCATCAGCCGGATTCGAACCTGGAACCTCGAGTTCTGGAAGTCAGTGCTCGTCCACCGAGCTGCCCCGCTCCCCAAGGATGTTCAAAGTATGTAAAATTTGAATTTATTCTGTTCCACCCTTTTTCTGATTTATTGATGGATTATGTGAGCTCATATAACCATATAAAGGTTTTGTTTTTTTTTAATAATTTTATGCGAACAAAATGCAGAAAAAAATAAAGAATATATTGATATATTGAGTAATTTTAGCTATGTTTGGGTTGAATAAAAAAAATAAAAATAAAAAAGTAGCCGGAGATCAGAAAGAAGGTTTGGTTAATACTAAGTTTAAGGTTAGCGATAGGTGTTAGTCTACACATTATTTACTGTCTGGTCATGGGTGTTTATATCCTGTAACATCTGATAAATGGTATAATTTGCATTTTTATTTTAGAAGAACTTTAACAATAATTAACTGAAAATTTAGTATAACCTCAGATTACAAAAATACATCAAAATATTCTTTAAATGTTTCAGTATTTATTATTCTTAACCGCTTGTCAGTGTAATAAGTTAAACGTTTATGAAAAAAAAAAAAATTTAGAAGTTTGAAAACTTATCATTCCAGAGATGTACCCACCTACCCTCTCGACCCGTTAAAGGTGTAAATTTGTAGGATAAGCCTAAGAAATTTTGATTCCAAATAGCAGATGAATGATGCCCGATGCCCATAACTCTCCCTCACTGTTCTTCGATTATTAACAAAAGCATTTGCTGAAAAATCAATATATACTATTTCTAAAATGGATAAATCAAAATATACTATTTTTTTGTCAATACACCCACCATGCCTTTATTGATTGTTCAAGCCATTATTTTAGAACAACTTGGGGAAAGAAAAATTGTTCTTATCTCCCGACATTTCAGGAAATAAAATTGAGGAAAAAAAAACTTTATTTATACTTATGTGAAAAATTATAAAATTTATGATTGATTTCACCCATGATTATTTGAAGACACTAATTCTTATATAATTTATTGTAACTACTAATCATTTAATTTAAAAAATACTTTTTTTTTTGTTTATAAGAAGCATTATACTTGAAAAGAATTCAACTAAAATACTAATTAATATTAAACTTTTTTTTTTGCCACTATTTACCCTATTTATGACCGCCACCCCGGACCATCTCCTTCCTTTATAATGCAGCGGGCAACAATTAAATATGCAATAAACATTTTTTTTGTTTTTATATATGAATAGTAATGAACAGTAGTTATAGAAATACATATTAGCATGCACTTATTAACCATCGAGATCATTTTAGATTGATTTTTAAGATGATCTCATTTAATCTACCTAAAAAAAAGTACCATACCAAGGACATCACAATAAGACAAAAATAAAATTTTGTAGTGTAGATTATAAATTTATGGGTTAGTTCACTAACAGTTTCAGATGACACTATACTAGAAAATTTTAAACCTGTAATTTACTTTAAAAAATAGTTTTACTAATATGTCAATGTCAGCAACAGCAATCAATTACAATTAGCCCTCCTCCAAAGCATAAGGCATATTAGACAGTATTGAAGGAAGCTAGTCGACTGTTCTACATATCATGGGTGATAAATGTCGGCACAAATAATAAATTAATATAATGACTGCGTCCTGAATATTTATCACCCATATTAGATATTAATAATAAAGATCTAAAAATACATACAAGTGTTTTAATGCTTGGTAATTTCACTTTTGTTTTTCCCTGGACCATGAAGACGTCAAGTTAAAATTGTGTTAGGATTGGTTCGGAAGATTTCAAAGTTATCAGTTGCTATAGAAAAACATGCTATTCTTTGATTAATTAGCATGAAAAACACACTCAATAAAATATATGATAAATGATAATCCCAGCCCATCATGAATAAAATGAAATCAACTAATGCAGGATAGGCAGCACATTTTTTATAATTTCGCCTGCTAAAAGAAAATAATCACACTGAGAGGACTGTAGGACTTTAATATTATACTAGATGTTGAAAACATTGTAGATCTTGAATAAAAAATAGGTTACACCTGCTATTTCATAATATGAAACATAATACCATTTCGAACCTGCTGCTTTTGTTCATAAGTCGAAACTAGCAGATTAACCGATTACTTTTGCCAATTTATAAGTACTACAAATTAAAACATATTTAAAACATTTAAAAAAATAGAAGAAGTGGGAGAATTCAATTTTTTTTAGATAGGATATAATGATAACTAATATCAATGCAAACATAGACTTCAGAACAATTAAACAAGAAAAGTAACTTATTTGTTTTTTCTCCCTAATTTAGCATTATAAAAAATTTAATATTAAATAAACAAAACATTAGAACTTCATTAATAACTTATCCATATTAGGAAGCTGTATAACAACACAACTTTAATTCAATGGATAATAATTTTATCAGTGTCTCAACAGAATATTAAAGAGGAGAATGTTGCCTCTACTAGCACAGTGGGAAAGAAGCCATGCAAGAAGCTACGGCGGTGAGTGCTTATCTAAACTAAAGGAGGTAACTACTGATAGCAATTAGCCAAGGGTATCCAGCTTACCCCTTATCGTCGCTGTCAGAATAGCGAGGCCGAAGCCCGGGTAGATCTGAAGGCGGCATTCCTTGGCCACCCCATGGGCCTGTGGCTTCCTTGAGACCATCACTGCCACCGTCACCTGCTAGATCCCCTCACCATATCGCACGCACCATAAATATAACTTGATATAACATCAATATCTACCCGTAACCTCTTAATGGGCTGTCCTTCAACACCTTTTATCTAACCCATATAAAACACCCAAGCTCTTCTGCAAACAATGAGGATCACACTAGACAACAATGTTCTACCGCTCAAACAGATTTATGTCTACCCAACAGCTAAGACATTAATATCCATTTGATCGAAATTTTAATAGCTATTGTCAGCATTTAATGAAGGAAATGGAGAATTTTTTTTTTCTTAACCTCTTTCAGAAACAACTACATCAGCAGTTGATATGTTAACTAAAGCATTGTTTAAGTATTATGAAACGAATCTTGTCAACAAACTAGTTATGAAGTTTGTAGATTATTATGATGTATTATTGAAGGAAGTTAGTCGACTGTTCTATATATCATGGGTGATGAATATTTAGGACGCAGTCATTATAATGTTTTTATTGGTGCCAACTTTTCAACCTTAAAATGTGGGTCATCATCAGGGCATGTTTCGAGGACTGTTGGTAATTAATAACTTCAATGCCTTCAGTATTTAAGTATTTAAATACCTTCAGTGCTCAAAACACGCCCTGATGATGACCCACATATTTGGGTTAAATCAGCACTAATAAAAACGTTAAAAATGACTGCGTCCTGAATATTTATCACCCATATTTATGATGTAAATGAAAGTGGAAAAATAAGACAGGGAAACTCACGTCAACAATGTCTAATAAAACTTCTTTTTGAAAAATGCCTTCCTCGAAACAAATTAAAGTAAATAGTATAAAAACAATTATTTATTAAGTCAATGCTTATTTCTCCAGCAATTAAATTAATCAGGACACTGCTCAGGCAATTATCCCCGCCCTTTATGCCTCTATACAACATTTTATTTTACTAGAACAACTTATTTGAAACAACATTAGTGATTTTTTACATTTAAGAAATGTTGACATACCACGATTTTCAAACGTAAGAATAAAGTCTAAGGATAACATTATTTCATTTTTTCCAAAAAAAAAATTAAGTAAATGTTCAAAACAAATCTGTTCATTAATGAATCAACCACATATAATATTTTCGATGATTAATTCATTTTGCCAAATATTGAGACCATGAGTCAAATACTTGAGAAATTATTTATAAAATTTAATCTCTTAGAGCTAGGGTCTGCAAAACCGTCCACGGACCAGATTCCACACTTTTAATCTGCCCCACGAACGTTTCTTTGATTACATGGGAAAATTTTAAAAACATCAAATTTAGCGAATTACTCAC